AATTGTGGCACAAGTATACCTATTTGGGGTATTTTAGTGGTATTACCTCTATATTATATTCGAATTTTGAGCGGATCAATGACACCTAAATATAGAATCAAAAGCATATTATAAGTCATCATTCATCATTAGAGAAATAAATATATTAAAGGTATACATCCGTTGCCACATACTGCATGAACAATATTGTTGAAATAAGAAAACTTATTAAACTCTTGGTAAATACATAGAACATTGTTAAATATATTTGTTTCTTTTTTTTTTCCTCAGCTCGCCTGTACCCCCACTTAATATTGTACTGTTCCTAGGAGTTTTCTTTGAGGCCAGAAAATTTTGGAAGTTAATTGGCATGAATTTACTTATCGAGAGTGGGAAGGCTAAATTCGGAATCGTAAAACTATAAATATGTGAAGCTAATAGTGATAATATTTGGTAGATATAAAATATAAATAATTGAGGAGCAAAGAAAATATATTTGGCGAACTTAATTAGTGAAACTGGAAAATGAAATAGTTGTGATATTGTGAAACGAGGTAAAATATATTATAGAGAAATTTCTCCTTACGTATGCAAAAGGTGAAAGGGATGAAAAAGGGTTAAACGTTATAAAATTTGGAATATATAAAATTAGGAAGTAAATAAAATATATTTGGTGAATTTTATTTGTAAAGCTGAAATGGAGCTGCGAATAGAAAATGAAATTGTTGTCATATTATATAACAAAGGAAAATAGATTATAGAGAAACTTTTCCTTTCAAAATACATATAGATAAGGTGAAAGTGATGGTAAAGAGGTAAATGTTATAAAATTTATAAAAATTCCAAACATATGAAAATGAGATATACTAAAAAACTACAAAAAAATTTGGACCATTTCTCGATTTGTGCGTGTCATCCTTGCGCAGGGGCCATGCTAATCTTCTCTGTATCGTTCCAATTTTATCGGATGTCTTCGAAGAGACAACCTCTCCTGTCTCGCTCGGACAATATAAATCGAGGTGCATTTGTGTTCATGATCGATGTGGGACTCCTCCTAGCTCCTACTATTTAAAAGCTTCATGGCCCGTTGCTTTATACACGTAGGGCCCACATTAATAACTCCAAAGTTTGGGACACGTGGCCCAAGCAACTTTGGTATTTAAAAAAAAGAAAGAAATACTTTGCTTTTATTATTATATGCGGAGTGCTTTACCATAAGTTAAGAGTAATGTTAGATAATGATATTGGGTTGGGCTTAGCCCAATGAACAAATCCACTTGAATTACGTTTTACCACGAAATAATTTAAGGGACCTAACAAGGGATTCGTGTAGAGTAACACGTGACGTACCGTTTGGAAAAAGTAAAAAATAAAAATAAGGGTCGATTAGCAATTACATATTCTTTCTTTTACAAATAAAATAAAGGGAAGAGGCGATCAATGCTAATAATATCCTTTGGATATTATCATAAAGGTCTCATACTCGTTGCGAAATTGTGCGATGAGCCATAACTACTCCGTATCAGCCGTGATTTGAAGATTCGAGGTGGTCGAGCCCGTAAACATAAGCTCACTAAGATGCTAGTAATCGAGAAGTGCTGTGATATTATGAATTTCGACCTATTTTTCGGGATTTATGAAATGAATATTTCTTCAATGCGCTTTCAGTGAAATCTTGCTCGGAATTGATCATTCTCGAGTAGACTAACCGTTAAGGAATGGCTAGCTAGGAATCAAGTACGTGGACCTAAGAACTTGGCCATGGATTGACACTTCGACCATAAGGATTAGCGAGGGAATATTTTGGGCCGTTAAAGGCCGATCCAAGAATGGTTATGGAACGATTCGCAAATGTCGTGCAATTGGGTCGCTGGTGATTCCGCTTGGCCATTGTATGAATTTCGAATGATCCTAAACCTAATCCGAACGATCGCGTCATTCGGAACTAGTGATTGACCCTCGCAATTACATGACAACCGAGGTCGCCATAGCTCGAGTAAACTTAGATGTGGCTCGATATCGAATCAGCCACGAGTCGATACGCGTAATTCCTAAAAGCCGTCCGTTAGTTCGAGATACGCTAAAGTCGCATTCGATTGAATTTGGCCATTAATTAGAATCCGAATTGGGCGTCGAAGTTTCAAGAATTCCACGACTAATTTTTCGGACGTCGTCTCATTAAACATGGCCAATCGTGGGGTTGATCGGAAAAAGGAAAAAGGAAAATTGGGCAAAAATATTTTGTGGACAAATTATTTTTGTGGAGATAATGTTGAAGACCGCCCCCCCCCTCTCTTCTCTCTCTCTCCTCTCCTTCTTTCCCGCTGGCACCCACGTTGCTGCTGACTTCTGCCCTCTGTAGACCCACGTCCCTGCTGCTGCTGCTTCTGCTTCATTGCTGACATCCCCCATGCTGCTGCCGATGATGGACTTCCCTGCTGTTGACCCTCTTCTCTTCTTTTCTTTTCCTTTCCGCTGCTGCTTCTGCTTTGTTGCTTCTGTTTCTTGCTTCTGCTGCTTCTCGCTCTCCATTCCAGCCAACCAGCGGCTTCACCCGCCTCCCTCAGCCAACGTCCGGCCACCGTGAGTGCCGCCGCTCGCCCGTCCAGCCACTGTGAGCTCAGCTCACCGCCGGAGTTGCTGCTGCCTCTTCTTCTTGGTTTGCTTGCTTAGGATTCCTAGTAAGTACTCCCTAAGCCTTGGTTAGGATAATGAGTTACTAATGGATTAGAGGCCGTGGATAGTTGGTTTAGGGGTTGATTGAAGTTGGCTTGCTTAATGATTCTTGATTGGTTGATTTTCGAATTCGCTACTGCACTGCCTCTGTGTTTTGTTATTTTCGTAGAGACTTGTGTGGGCCGAATTTGAGGAAATGTTCTTCATGAAAGTTGCTCATAACATCTTGAAGTATAACATATATTAAATTTGAAATTTTTGGAGATCATTTGAGGTCATTCGGGAGTCCATTTTCGGACCGTGTTTAGTCTGCTGGATTTACTGTTCATCCGACCTTCTGGTCTTTCCGATTTTCTATAAATTTTTCCAGACCTCTTTTCAACAAACTTCCTTCACAAAAATTGTTAAGAACATCTGTGTCTATGACATATAAAAATTTCAGAGCTTTCCAAAGTGATTTGGATACTGAATGAGTTGTATTTTTATGGTCTGAGGGGCTGTCCGAGCGAACCGGGTTCTTTCTGGCTTTGAGTTACAAAACGAGGCTTTTACAATCAGAACTGGATTTCGTGTCCCCATGAAAAATGTTTATCAAGATGTTTTGTACAACATATCCAAATTTTAGAATTTTTGGAGTTGATTTACTATTTATTTCAAACGGATTTCGGTCACTGCGCAACTGCCCAGTTTGGACCCGGTTTTGTACATTCTCGATTTTTCTCTTTCTCGAGAATTATTCGGTGTTATCGTGGTGTTTTGACGGACTTAGTTGACATTGGGCTAATTTACAAAGATAAGAATTGGTAATGATTGCTGAGGTGTGTGCATGGTCACGACACGTTTCGTCTAGGCGGGAGTTTTAGACGATGCCCGGCGGGAGTTCGGATGCCGTCTGTTACCTGGGGTTGCCGGGGGGTGTTCGATTCCAGACGATGCCGATCGCAGTGGAGGCCGAATCGATGCTCCTAAGTGGAATGCCGTTGGGTACCCAGCTTGCCGGGGTTGTTCGATCCCCAACGTTGCTGTCGCCGACGTAGAGGGACGATGCCTGGTTACGCCAGAAGACCGGCGGGAGTTCGGTGGCCCGATGGGTCGTTAATAATCTGGACTTAATGAGTACGATTTGCATTGGGCAATGGTTTGCCTGAGTTAATTGATGAACACGTCTGGGTTATTAACCGTGTTATGCATGATTATGCTTTGAATTGCATTGTATAAGCTTGATGACCAATTGGCCATGTTATGGCAGGATTCTAACGTGTAGGGCTTGCGTATGTGCCGAGGCGAGATAAGGGCACTTGTGATTGTTATGACATGTTGGATATCGGTATTGCATGATTAGGATTGTTCGGAGGTACGCGTTAACCTAAGCGAGGCTTAGGTAGTTACTTATTGAGATTTATCTCATCCCCCGTTGTTAAACATTTTCGGGCTTGGAGTGACGAATAGTCGTCACGTGCGGCTTAGAGACCGGGGGTGATATTGGGCATTTGATGCTTCATCCCTTTTTGAATGCCCTGGTTGTAGAGGAGTTAAGCTTACCAAACACCCGATCTTTTTTGTTGTGCGTGGTTCATAGTTAGTGGCATCATAGAAGGCTTGCAAATGTATATGTTGCAATCGATGTTATGTTTATAAAAGTGTCTTGTTGATGTGTATTCTTTATCTCTCTACTATCCCGTTGTTTATATGTTGTATGGAGAGTTCGAGGTTGCTTCCGTATGCGTTGCTCGTTAGTGTTTCGATTGGGTCGACGACAAATCCTGGGATGTCACATACTTGACGATCTCGGAGGGACGTTGCGTACTCGTTGGGGTTCGGGACGTGACAAGTGTTGCAGCTACACAACACAATAAGAACTGTTCAAAGGATTGCTCACGAAAAAAATCATAAAAAAAAAGTGTAAAGCATTGGGAAAAAGTCATTAAACCTAAAAATAAGGCACCACTCCAGAAATCGTAAACTAATCCTCTGGATTGATACAGTTGATTGCGGCATTAGGGGATTTTCAGTTTTGAAACTAGAGGCCATTTGTCCGAATTTGATCTACCGAATGCAAACTCCTGCAGGTCAAGGCCAACTGCACAGGCCAAAAATCTAAACTTAATCGATTTATAAAACTCGTAGAGTGTTCCATCAGCCTCCATGTACGGGATTATAAATAAAAATTAAAAGCTCACAGGTGCAGTTTAGGGTTCCCCCACTCCTTGTTTTGTTTATGGTGAATGTAAGCATATGTCAAATATTAAAAATTGCCGATCCAACAACCACAGCAGCAATAGATATTAAAGGACTTAAAATGAGGAGTAACATATATGAGAAATACAATAGATGAGGTTAATTAAAAAAAATCGGATTATTTTTCGATTGGCGCGTGTCGTCCTTACGCATGGGCCATGCTAACTTTCTATGTATCGTTTCAATTTTATCGGATGTTCAATGCGAGACACTTTGCTCTACTTTATCATTTAGATTACATATTTAATAATCAACGGGCTTATATTCACATTATACCGTGTTAAATGTAAGTGATCTTGTTCTAAAGTGATCATTCTTTCAATGAATTTTCAAGAGGAGAATGTTAGATGACTGTAATGGGATTAGAAGCAATGAAAATCGTCACGTGGTGTGTCCATGGACCTAACAATAAATTTAGATTTTCATTCGAATTTTGAGGGGTCGATGACATCCAAAAATAGATCAAAAGTATATATCAAGACACCATCTATCATTAGGACTTGACTGAGGTAAAATAGATTAAAGAGAACCAAAGAGGTAAATGTTAAAATTTATAGAAACTCCAAATATATGAAAATGAAATATACTAAAAAAATTACAAAAAAAATTTGGACCATTTCTCGATTTGTGCGTGTCATCCTTGCGCAGGGGCCATGCTAATCTTCTCTGTATCGTTCCAATTTTATCGGATGTCTCCGAAGAGACAACCAATTTTGGCTCATTTGAACAATATAAACCGAGGTGCATGTGTGTTGAAGGTCGATGTGGGACTCCTCCTAGCTCCTCCTATTTAAAAGCTTCATGGCCCATTGTTTTATTCATGTAGGGCCCACATTAATAGCTCCAAAGTTTGGGACACGTGGCCCAAGCAACTTTGACAATTAAAAAAAAATCCTTTGCTTTTATTATATGTGGAGTGCTTTACCATAGGTTAAGGCCCACATTAACAACTCGAAAGTTTGAGACATGTGGCCCAACTAATGTCATTATGTTACATAATGATATTAGTTGGGCTTAGCCAATCCACTTGAATTACATTTTACTACGATATAATTTAAGGGACCTAACAAGGGATTCGTGTCGACGATAAAGAAAATAAGAGTAATACGAGAGCTATTGTTAGGAAAAAAGTATAAACTAAAAATAAAGGTCGATTAACAATTAAATATTCTTTCTTTCATAAATAAAATAAAGGAGAGAGGCGATTAGCGCTAATGATATCCTTTAAACGTTATCATAAGAGTCTCACACTCGCTACGAAATAGTGCGATTGAGCCATAATTACTCCGTACCAACCGCGATTCGAAGATCCGAGGTGGTCGAGCCCGTAACCACAGGCTTACTAAGATGCTAGTAATCAGGAAGCCCCACACAATATGTGTGGCAGCTACGAAACACCGTAAGAGCCGTTCAAAGGTTTGCTCGGGCAAAGAAAATCACAAAACATTAGCGTAAAGCATTGGGAAAAAGTCTTTAAACCTAAAAATAAGGCACCGCTCCAGAAATCGTAAACTAATCCCCGGATTGATGCGGTTGATTGAGGCATTGGAGGATTTTCAGATTTGAAACCAGAGGCCATTTGTCCGAATTTCACCAACCGAATGCAAACTCCCGGAGATCAAGGTCAACTGCATAGGCCAAAAATCTAGACTCAATCGGTTTACAAAACTCGTAGAGTGTTCCGTTAACCTCCATGTACGGGATTATAAAATGAAAAATAGAAGCTCACAAACGTGAGTTGCAGTTTAAGGGTCCCCCCACTCTTTGTTTTGTTTACGGTGAATGTAAGCATATGTCAAATATTAAAGATTGCCGATCCAACAACCATAGCAGCAATAGATATAAAGGGAATTGAAATGAGGAGTAACATATATGAGAAATACAATAGATGAGGTCAATTAAAAAAAATTGGACTATTTTTCGATTCGCGCATGTCGTCCTTTACGCATGGGCCATGCTAATTTTCTATTATCGTTTCACTTTTATCGGATGTTCAATGTGAGACTCCTTGCTCCTCAAAAAAAGGCCTAAAGAAAGATTTATTATTTGGACTACATATTCAATAATCAACAGGCTCATATTGACATTATACTGTCTAAAATGTAAGTGATCATATTTTCAATGAATTTTCGAGATGAGAATGTTAGATGACCGTAATGGGATTATAATCAATGAAAATCATCGCGTGGTGTGTACAAGGACCTAAGATTCAATTTAGATTTTATTCGAATTTTGAGGGGTCGATGATGCCCAAATATAGATCAAAAGTATATATTAAGACACCATCCATCAACGCTCATTACGACAAAAAAGAAATATACAAGTAATACATTCATCATCACATATTACATGAACAATTTCGTTGAAATAAGAAAACCTAATTAAACTTCTGGTAAATATTCAGAATATTGTTGACTATATTGAATTTGTTGCAATACGGTGAGATGAGGTAAAATAGATTAAAGAGAACCAAAGAGGTAAATGTTATAAAATCTATAAAAACTCCAATCATATGAAAATGAAATATACTAAATAAGTACAAAAAAATTTGGACCATTTCTCGATTTGTGCGTGTCATCCTTGCGCAAGGGCCATGCTAATCTTCTCTGTATCGTTCCAATTTTATCGGTTGTCTCCGAAGAGACAACCTCTTCTGTCTCGCTTGGACAATATAAATCGAGATGCATGTGTGTTAATGGTCGATGTGGGACTTTCCTAGCTTCTATTTAAAAGCTTCATGACCCAATGTTTTATTCATGCAGGACCCATTAATAAGACACCATTTGTCATTAGAACAAAAAAGAAATATACAAGTAATACATTCATTGTCGCATATTACATGAACAATTTCATTAAAATAAGAAAATCTAATTAATCTTTCGGTAAATATTCATAATGTTGTTGACTATATTGAATTTGTTGTAAAACAGTCAAATGAACATGAAATATACTAAAAAAAGTACAAAAAAATTTGGACCATTTCTCGATTTGTGCGTGTCATCCTTGCGCAGGGGCCATGCTAATCTTCTCTGTATCGTTCCAATTTTATCGGATGTCTCCGAAGAGACAACACTTCCTAGCTTGCTTGTGCAATATAAGGCGAGGTGGATGTAAACTTTTGTTCGATGTGGGACTCCTCCATCCTCGAGAAAGGCCTAAACAATGATATTTTATTTCCTCAAAAAGCCCAACCGCATCCTCCCAAAGTTATGTGGGTCCACGCAACCAAGCTTTTTGTCGTCTCTTTCTTTGCTTTATTTAGATTACATATTTAATAATCAACGGCATTCTTTTGACATTATATTGTGTAAAAGGTAAGTGACTTTATTCTTGACGAAGTGATTATATTTTCAATGTATTTTTAAGAGGAGAAACGTTAGATGATTGTAATAGGATTGTAAGTGGCGAAAAGTATCATGCGATATGTACTTCAACCATTTATATATAGGATCAATACCACAAAAAATCCCAATTTAGTACATCCGTATCATATTTACCCCAAATTGATTTTTGTGTCATAAAAATTTCTGAATCCGTACACTTGTGCCACATTTATCACAAACTAATTTTTCTAAAAAAAATCCAAATCGTTACACTCGTGCCACATTTTCCCCAAATTGATGTAGCCGTGCCACATTTACCCCACAAAATCACAGATTTACCACGATTTGGGATAATTGTGGCACGACTGTATCAATTTGAAATTTTTTGTGAGTTTAAAGCAAAAGTGGCACGAGTACACTAGTTCGGAAGTTTTTATGACACAAAAATTAATTTGGGGTAATTGTGGCACGAGTATACCTATTTGGGGTATTTTAGTGGTATTAGCTCTATATTATATTCGAATTTTGAGCGGATCAATGACACCTAAATATAGAATCAAAAGCATATTATAAGTCATCATTCATCATTAGAGAAATAAATATATTAAAAGTATACATCCGTTGCCACATATTGCATGAACAATATTGTTGAAATAAGAAAACTTATTAAACTCTTGGTAAATAGTAAATACATAGAACATTGTTAAATATATTTGTTTCTTTTTTTTTCCTCAGCTCGCCTGTACCCCCACTTAATATTGTACTGTTCCTAGGAGTTTTCTTTGAGGCCAGAAAATTTTGGAAGTTAATTGGCATGAATTTACTTATCGAGAGTGGGAAGGCTAAATTCGGAATCGTAAAACTATAAATATGTGAAGCTAATAGTGATAATATTTGGTAGATATAAAATATAAATAATTAGTGAAGCTGACGTGGAGCCACGAACTGGAAAATGAAATAGTTGTGATATTGTGAAACGAGGTAAAATATATTATAGAGATTTTTCTCCTTACGTATGCATAAGGTGAAAGGGATGAAAAAGGGTTAAACATTATAAAATTTGGTGAACTTTATTTGTAAAGCTGGAATGGAGCTGCGAATAGAAAATGAAATTGTTGTCATATTATATAGCAAAGGAAAATAGATTATAGAGAAACTTTTGCTTTCAAAATACATATAGATAAGGTGAAAGTGATGGTAAAGAGGTAAATGTTATAAAATTTATAAATTTTCCGAACATATGAAAATGAGATATACTAAAAAACTACAAAAAAATTTGGACCATTTCTCGATTTGTGCGTGTCATCCTTGCGCAGGGGCCATGCTAATCTTCTCTGTATCGTTCCAATTTTATCGGATGTCTCCGAAGAGACAATCTCTCCTGTCTCGCTCGGACAATATAAATCGAGGTGCATTTGTGTTCATGGTCGATGTGGGACTCCTCCTAGCTCCTACTATTTAAAAGCCTCATGGCCCATTGCTTTATACACGTAGGGCCCACATTAATAACTCCAAAGTTTGGGACATGTGGCCCAAGCAACTTTGGCATTTAAAAAAAAGAAAGAAATACTTTGCTTTTATTATTATATGCGGAGTGCTTTACCATAAGTTAAGAGTAATGTTAGATAATGATATTGGGTTGGGCTTAGCCCAATGAACAAATCCACTGGAATTACGTTTTACCACGAAATAATTTAAGGGACCTAACATGGGATTTGTGTAGAGTAACACGAGACGTACCGTTTGGAAAAAGTAAAAAATAAAAATAAGGGTTGATTAGCAATTACATATTCTTTCTTTTACAAATAAAATAAGGGTTAATATCACGAAAAACCCTAAACTGGTACACTTGTGACACATTTACCCCAAACTATTTTTTTGACCATAAA